TGCCTGCATTATTAAATGCAGTCCTCTCTAAGCCACTCAACAGCATGAATCTAATTTAAGAGAAGAGTGATGAAGCCAAATTCAGATGCAAGCTCTTTCACAGACAATAGCTCTAATTTAGCTACAGAAGCTACAATCTTAAATTTGACAAATACAGATAAGGACATCATTTTCAAATGACCCTCTGATTTAGCTCAGGATACACCCTTATTTCTTATGTCTGTATCTGCTGATGTTCCAAAGAGTGCACAGTTACAACAACGAGATATTAGGCTGAGATGGAGTTATCCAATCTCAAACAGCAGCACAACAGGGATTCTGAAAGTTAAGACTGCCAGATCTGAACTCTTTGCTCCAGTCACCACAGTATAAGAAAGACTACAGTACAATTTTGCCCATACTGTATCTGCTATTCAGATGGGTGTGTTTTTGTTTGGAGTATTAATATGAAGCTCAACAGAGTAAAATGCACATTAGTAACAAATAAATCTGTAGTATATTTAATGCTCAGATATATTGAAAAAGCATTGAAATTGCAAAATATCTCAAAAGATTTCATCCAAACTATAACATTCACTCATTTCATATGACTGCACTGTTAGAGAAAATTCCCTCCATTGAAGCCTTAAAGGATACAAGACTAAAAAGCCAGGTTTCTATGTGCTTTAAAAAGTCAAAATTATAGCCTAATGAAGAAACTGTCTGCCTTAGTGGCAGAAACTGACAGCCATAACTGAGAGCCTGCATCAAGGCTATCAGGCAGGGTGTTTGCCTCTTTCAGCATGCTAAGAAATCAGCTAGGATGCAGGCGGAGCATGTTTTATACACCTTATGGGATAAACAGGTTCCATTTAACTCAGATCCTACTAGAATAACAACTTGACTGTCAACATCTATAGTCAATTTATTGTTAAAACTCCCCAAAAAGAAGGTATGTCTACAACACCAGCCAGTATCTGATGAACATCTAGTGCCTACACAACATCAACCAACAGTAATATAATATTCTCTTGTTGACCTCTGAATTAAAATAATCTACCAGAGCTTCTAAAGTAGTCTTTGGCCAGAAACCTAAATGAAAAACATATAAGATTTATGTCTCATACACAACTGCTTAGACCCGTGTTACAATCAAACACTATTTTTCCTATAAGGAGATAATGGAAATGGATCTGCACTAGATAGTGTCAATCTCGTTTAACAGTTTTGTTTTGAGAAATGTAGCTGCTGTCACCACCAAAAAGATGTTCACCTACCAATAAGGAAAATATCATCATAGGCATCCTTCAGTCTCGAGAGACTATGGTAACATGCTCTGAATCGAGGAGTGTTCTCTCCAGAGCATGAAGCCTGAGTAAAGTTATATGGAGGATAGGCTGTTACCCAAGCAGCAGATCCCCCCTCTCCACGTTGCTGAAATAGTCCAATGGAAAGGCAAAAGCCAATACAACTGGTTTCAGCGACGTCGCAGGAGTTGGCAGAATGACACAAACTGCCTTCGGGACTCCAGCTCCAGATTAACTCCTGAAGCCTTTTCCATGAGTGGATATAGCCCCAAAGCACAATATATTGCCTCACTAATTAAGATGACTTCCAAGAACAAGCTTGTTTACCCTTCATCAATCATGACAAAGAAAGATGGACCAGGCAGCATGTGGCTTAACTTAACTGTACCAAAATCCTGGGGTAACTACTGAAATAAACTGATTCAAACAAATAAACTGATCCAAATGTTTGACAAGACAGTACCAATTATAATCTGTAACTTAACTGTACCAAAATCCTGGGGTAAGTACTGAAATAAAGTGATTCAAACAATTAAACTGATCCAAATGTTTGACAAGACAGGACCAATTATTATCTGGACTATGACTCAGTCTTAAATAAGGAATACAGTAACATCTTCATTAACTACACTTCTTTCCCTGATGGAAAGTATACTCCCTTTTACTGATTTTACAGCAGCAGGAGCTGCAAACACGAGGCTAAATTAAGCTTCAACCAATGTACTGTACTCCCCATAGCAGTCTTTTGGTGATGACAGTGAGAAACCAGCCTTCCTCTCAATTTTCAATCTTCAAAAATGGGCAAAGATTGTCTATTAGAGCTCTAGGGCTGAATGAAAGCCTGGAAACTGTTTGGCAGCTATGTATTAATGCCTAAAGAAGTTTGGATGTACAAGGCCAGATCAGTATCTTCTCTTAGGCTGGAAAAACCATCAGGGAGAATTTGGACAGGACAACTATACCTAATTGTATGTCCTTAACACCTAGCAGCAAACATTCTCCCGCTGCCAGCATCAACTGTTCTTTTGGGAAAGGTAATACTTCTAAGTAGTAGTGTCAAGACAGCAAGTTCCCTTGGTAGCTTTTTCCTTTAAAAATGTTGGTGGGAAGAGCTTGCCCAGGTAGGGAAACTGACAGACAGGCAGGGTCAAGTGACCACAACATGTGGCTTAGTCAGGAAAAAAATAATTAAGCCTTTAGCTGAAGCATCTGCAGAACAAATTTATCTACAATAACCATTCAAAGTTGGTCCTTATTCTAAAACGGCTATGAAATATGATCATATAAATGAAATCATATTTGCCAAACAATACTTTAGTATAAATCTCACTACACAGGGTGAGGTCACACACTGAAGTGGGAGTGGTCCTAAAGGAGCACCAGAGAGGGGAATGTAGTGGTTATGAAAAATATGTACAGTACAAGAGTCTGGGAGGCATTTTACACCTTTCCATACACAGTCTTTTGAAAGTATTTGCCAGTCAATGTTTGATACATCAAATGTGTAGCATCTGTAGACTAAATGAGGCATCTAAGCCAAGGTGGTATGATTATCATTATTTGTCAAGCCACCTAATAAGCTGAAAAATAATTTCCCAGAACAGCTCCCTTTAAAGAATGCCAAGAAGTTGCCATTATTCAGACACAACGATATCAAAAAAGACTTTATACTGCCACTGTCATTGCTACACTACAAGGCTTCAGGCAAATTTTATGGCATTGTTTGGCTATATGCAGAATTATTTTTCTGTCATTGTGATAGCCCCTTTGCTGTTTCAGCACTTGCATGTTCTTTGTAACCACACCGAAAACTTCATGAGAATACTCCTAGGCACTACTTTAACAGCAGTCTCAGTTAGCCTTCAACCTAGACTAGGCAACTACATACAGTATAGAATCAGTATTAATGTATAGAGTCTCTCTTCTTTCCCTCTTGCCATCTCTACACGTTTTTAAAGCCAACTGGATCCATAAGTCAGAAATAAGATCACTGTAGTGGCACACTAAACCCACAGAGCTTGTGACAAAGGGTAATCCGAATCTTGATAAAACAACAGTGCAACTACAAGACAGAAAAAGCGAGAAGTGCAGAAGTGGGATTTTCACTCAAACCCCCCCCATCCTTTATCCACCTAACCAATCTATTCAGACCAGGGGGAAGTGAAACCAACGTGGAGGATATATCAGGGGTCTCCTACCGACCCTCATCAGACTGAAGAAGCTACTTAGATGAGTAGAGAAACATTTCAACCTAGTAAGAAAGAAGTCTATTTGCCATGACTCAACTTCCAGATACAAAACAGGTAACGTGTTTTGCCATGCCTGGACTACTACAAATGATTACTAGAGAGTTTGGGGAAAGGAAAAAGTTTTCCTGGGTAAGATTCAAACTCCTCCTCCTCCTCTGCTTCAAGACCATCTTCAGCTAATCTTTCTCATTATCTCTACAACTGTTAAGACAGTAACAAAAGAAAAACCTGAGAACATTACAATATGCTTGATACCTGAATTTGGGTTGACCATTTTAGAGAATCATCCAATTATTTAATGTCCATGATGGACAAAGATCTTGTTACCTCTAGCTTCCAAGCAGTATTCTCTAATATTTCTCTGTCAATTAAGCTGACCAAACACTAGCTTTATTCATGCATTCCCACTGTTAACTGAAAGCATGCCTATTTGCATAGTCTTTGAATGCACTGCAGCAGGAAAGGTTTAGCAACATCTTTGTACTGTTCATTCATTTCACAGATGTTGATTCATGTATGATGATTCCCACATGCTGTATCACTAGCCTATGAGCAATAACTCTTGGGCAAGCAAATAGCACAATACATTAGACAGGGCTAAGCCTAAATTTAATGCTCCCATGTAGGCAACAGAGATCCAAAGTGTGCCTGGAAATCTATTATAAATCCTCTCACCAAAAAGGAGGTAAATCTCTTATGATAACTGTTATCCAAATATAAACACATTGCTCCCCAAAAGTGCCTTCTTCCCTGAAACTACAATTAATATAATTTCTGCTGAAAAAGCAACATAAGCATTGCTTCCTGTATATCATACAAGAAGATACGTCAATAAAAATCAACAAAAACACTTGCCTTCTAAGACCTCACATTCTCATTGTGTACTGTACCACAAAACAGTTAAGACTCTAATGGCAAACTAATCTGGAAGTAGGATCAACTTCCAAATAAATGCCTGCAGAACCAGGTCATAAATGTAATTGTGTTTTGTCTTAAAACACAGTTAATCAAAATTTAAAGCACTGACATTAAGCCTATATATTTGGGAAAGACAATGATCCTGTTAAACACATAAGCGTAAATTGAGGCTTTGCAGCAAAAATACAGACCCCTGGAGTTGAGCATATCATTGAAATAGACACAGCTTACTATTATGCCCATGAAAGGCGCACTCCTTAATCTTTTGCTGAACATAATTCTAAGTTACTTCTGCCCCGTATTTCCGGTGTCTCTAGTTCTGCTAAAATCACACACAGAAATTTAGCTGCATCACAGAGAAAGGGCACACTTGTATGCTACAAAATCAAACAGGGTCACATAATGCAACTACATTAAGGCTTTGAACGGAATTCCTAGATCATCTAAAAATATGGTCACAAAGTTAAATACATTCTTAGACAAATTATTAAAAGCAGTATACTACACATTTCTTTAGGCAACAAAGCAGAGGAATAAGGCAACTTACATTTGGAGTATGACTTCATTCAAGAAGACTCCGTCCACAAGCGCAACATATTCTTCCAAGTTGGTTGCATTTCTTCCAGCTAACGGTCCAAACGTCTTAACCTAGAACATAATTATCACCACTGTGATAACACACTGACTTGGTCTCCAACTGTCAGCACATTCTAGTGACCAGTGTATAAATGCTTACCCAGGTAACAAGAGGACTGGATATGAAGACCTCTAACAGAGGTGTGAATATCTCGTTTTCCATTTTTGTTGTGGCAGAGCTTTAAAAACCCAGATGCATGGATATTTTTTAAAAGCAAGACGGCGTAACGAGGTTCCTTCAACTGCAGCAATTCCGTTCAATATAAAAAAAGTATATCCCAGCTGGCTTCCCGAAAAAAATTCAAAAAGTAACCAGGGCTACGGCAACAACCGACGCTTCGTTATCCACCTCGTCCAAAAAGAGAGCGATCGCGAGGCCGACGACGTTCATTTTCTGACACACACCCCCGCCCAATGTCTCTCACCGACTCCTTTTTCCTTCTCTCTAAGCAGAAGAGGAAGGGGGGAAAAAAGAGACCCTACGACGATCCTACATCAGCTACACAACCCTCACTTTCCTCCCCACCCCCAAACTTCCAGTCTGCAGCAGCACCACCACCACCACCAGCAAGCAAGCGAGCGTGCACACATGCAGAAGGGGCCCCAAATCCAGAGAAACCCTCCCCAGCTAATCTCAACCCCCCCCCTCCGGCCACGGAAAAGCCCGAATGTGACACGGAGAGCACCAACCGCATTCCCCCTCCCCTCCCTTTCCAACAAGTCTCCTTTACATTCGAGCTTGGAGATCTCTCTTTTTCCTACCCTGATTCCCATCCCCCAACACCGCCCCCCCCCCCGACAAGCTCTCCCGGAGAAAAACCTACTACCCTTATGACTTCCCTTCTCAAAAAAGATACTCTCGAGAGGGGCTTGAGGAAGACAGGCAGCTGAGCTGCAGCCGCCGCCACCACCCCCAAAGGCAGGCAGGACCCCACCCCCAACCCTTTCCTCACAGGTCGCCCTTCATCTCATCGCCTCACAAAAATCACCGCCTCTGGGAGCAGGCTGGCCCTGAGAGGAGGGTGCCGCTCCCTGCAGCTGCCTCCTTTTCCTGGGTGACTCACCGCCCTCCCAGCCCCTCACTCACTTCCCCTACCCGGAGTCCGTCCGTCAGCTTCCTCTCCTCTACCCGCCTCTCCCTTCCCTCCCGCCCTTAATTTCTGGCTTCCTCTTGGCTGGCTCCCTTTTATTCCTCTTCGCCCGTTATCTCAGTGGCAGCCCCTCCCCAAAGCTTTCCTCTTTTTTTCCCTTCCTTTTTCGTTCTTGGCCCCTCACAGCCCCACTCTTTCCCTTCCAACAAGCTAAAGGACGGCTTCTTCCCCCTCCGGCGGGTGCACACACCCCACTGCCTGCTCCTCTCAACTAACGGCTACGCGCGGGGCTTCAATCGAGCCGCATCACACGCGCACGCGCGCGTGCGCGCGGTCCTGTTCTCTTCCCCCCCCCTCCTCTTTCGGAAAGGAGAAGAAACTGTGAAGAGATCCTTACGCAGCTTCTTAGTAGGCACGAGCGCGCGAGAGAAGACGGGTTTTTTCCGCACGGTTTTGGCATAGATCCCTCCGCCGGTGGAGAGGAATTAAGGAGGGGGGAGGAGGGGAAAAAGAGAGGAAGAAAACCGCTGCATGGCGCGCGCGCGAGGGAGAAGATGGGCGGCGGTGAGGGGAGGGAGGGCGTGCGCGTGCGCGACAACCAGCTGGCCGCCGCTGCAGTAACGGGCGGCGGGCGCGAGCCCAGGAAAAGTGGAAGAGAGGGGGGGCGGGGAGAGGGAGAAAGAGGGAAAGGGTGTCGTTTCTCCTTCTCCCCCCCCAACCTCATAGAGGATGCCCTGCTAGGTTTCTGGTTTTGGGGAGAGATTTATTTCCCTTGCCAGGGCTTCTGAGGCAAAGAGGCTTCCCAAGAAATTCTCCCCCCCGCCCTATTCACGTGCGAAAGCGGGCGCGTGTGAAAGATTTCCAGGGACACGAGGGGGGGCTACTCTAGGTGTGTGGAGGGGGAAGGGCGGGGTGGGTTAATTCCCCCCCCCCGAAAAAAGAGGGGGCGAAGGGTTTGAGGAACAAGAGGACTTTATTCTTCTTCAGCATAGCCCTGAGCAGTTCGTTACTTGCGCGAGTGGGGGGCGGGGGAGGTTTCCCAGCAGACAAAAGAAAGTGACCTGAAATATTTGGGAGCTCCCCTTCCTTATGTACATTTTAGCCCTTCCTTGTGTATGACATGAGGACTCCGTGTGAAGGTTCAGCTCCTTAAAGCTGCTACTGACCAACTAACTGCAAGGTTTGTTGCACTTAACGAGTCCAAATCCAAAGGATGGGTGTGTCTCCTGCAAGGTAAAGGATGCATGTGCAGGACGACCAAGGTGAAAGATGCATGTGCAGCAATGCAGATGCCAGCGGACTCTGTTCTGAACAGCTCTCACTGAATCCTGGGGATTAAAAGAAAAATGGGCTGATGTCTGGGACACAGTCCTTGCCCCTCAGTGTCTGACACTTAAAGGATGAACAAAGGACAGAAGAGTATGTCACCTTGGAGCCTCAGGCATTTATTGTGTCGGAAGCTTGAACGGAATCAAGTCTGCTTCATCAGACAAATGACACATACCTGCCTAAGCAAGCTAGTACAGTATCCTTATAAAATATGGGGAGGAGGAGACGGTGATCAGGTGGCTTAGACGGGAAGGAAATCCCAAAGGTGTTTTTGTCAAAGCTAATGTGTTTCCTACAGGGCATGGAAGATGATGCCAAAAGGTGTGATAATAGTAATGAGTTTTTAAGAATGTAAAAGGAGATTTCACAGAAGATGTGTGCATGAACAGGGTTATGTGAATCTTCAGATTTGGAGGCGGTGTGCCACTTGATATCATTGGTAACCACAAAAGATGGATCAGGGTGGTAGACTGTTTGGAGGCTTCAGAGAGGCTTCTAGGCTAGATGCACCTGTTGGTCTCATTAGTAAGGTTTTCATGTTCTGTATGTGTATCTTTACTTCCTCACAAATATGTGATTTCCATTTGATTTTATTTGGAGAAAATAGGGGTAAAATATCTTTAGGGTATCTCTTACAGTGAAAGCCATATTTTCCTATACCACATGCAGCTCCACCGAGATGGGATAGTAGACTAGAGTTTTGTCACCTGCTAGGGGCTCTTAAAATATGTCAGGCTTGGATCTATAGGACACGAAATTTGCCCATTCTAATTTACATCTCTAAATGCAAATAACGAATCATTAGCAGGATTCATTTAAATTTAACAAAAGGCAAAGCCAGACAATTAATTGCTCGTTCAGATAATCTAAAAAAATGAAAGATAAATTCTGGCTAATTTGCATCCTGGTCCAGATAATTTCAAATCAGGAGTTCCCTTTTAATTACAATTAATTTGCACTAGAGCAAAAAAAATGCAAATGAGAGGTTTGCTGGTAGATTTTTTTTCAAGTGTCCTTTCTGTCTTACACACATATACCAGAGTCAAATTTCAAAAATTAGACAGGGTATAACTAATCCAAAAGCAAACCAGGGACAAATCAGCTCAGTTAATTTTCAAATCCACACTCAAATCCTGCTTCAAAATGTAGGTAGTTTTCCTCAGTTAAAAAGTACTGTACATACATCAATAATGCAGTTAAATTCAAAATATAGTGTACAGCAATGGGTTCAAAATAATAAAATATGTGGGTGGAAAAGTTCAAAATGAATCCAGAGGGATGGTGATAGGAGGACTAGAAGGCAATTGGAAGGAGATAAAATCTGTTGCATGTGGGAAACATGGCTATTTTGTGGGGTCTCCAGAGGTTCTACCCCTACTGAACTGGTGAAGCGCAGCAACAACAAATGTTCTTGTTTAAATCAATGTGCATGCTCCTCATGCATTTTGTTCTCTGCCCCCCACCGGAAGCAACATGTGAAATTATACTCCTGGAACCATATGGGGAGCAGTCTGCTTGTAAACAATGTACACCTTGGTTTATACTAGAAAAACCCAGTTATAACTGGAAACAAGTCACACCGGAGTTTAAACAGGAAAACGTTGTTATTGCCATCATAGTAAGTGGAATCAGTACTACAGGAGCCAACTGAGACTATTGGAAGGATTGTTTTTTTCCCCCTAAACTTAATTGCTATGAAGGACGTAGTCTGGAGTATTGCACCGTTCAGAGAAGGAGGGTTATTCTTTCAGGTTCTAATTGTGATCCCCTGGAAACCTGCCCTCCCATATCACAATTTAGTTTAGAAAAAAAATTCTACCAGAGTTAGCAATGGAAGGAATTCTACACACACAAACATATACATCTTGCAGTTTCTCAAAAAGAAATTAACATTTCCTCCTTCTGTGACAATCTCCCTTGAAAACAGAATCATTAAGTTGGAAGGGGCCTATAAGCATGAATACATATCAAAGGATATCTGCCAGGTGGTTGTCTAAATTTCTCTTGAATATTTCCAGTGTTGGAGCACTCACCACCTCTTGAGATAATTGTTCCATTGTTGTGCTGCTCTAACAGTGAGGAAGTTTTTCCTGATATTCGATAAAATCTGGCTTCCTGGAACTCGAGTCCATTGTGTGTCCTGCACTTGAGGATGATAGAGAATAGATTCTGCCTCTACTCTGTAGGACAGCTTTTCAAGTATCTGAAAAGTACTATCGTATCTCCCTTCCGTCTTCTTTTCTCAGGGTTAAACATGCCCAGTTCTTTCGGTCTTTCTCTTAGGGAAGACCTAAATTCCCTAATCATCTCTTAGCCCCCAATCATCCTTGTTGCAGTCCTCTGTTACAGTGCAACATGGTTCCAATTTATTGGAACTTGGTTCCAATTTATCAGCATCCTTCTTGAAGTGTGGTTTCCAGAACTGGACACAGTACTCAAGATAAGACTTAACTAGTGCCAAATAGGGGGGAATGAGTACCTCGCAGGATTTGAAGACCATACAGTACCTCTTTGAATGCATCCTAAAAAGGATTTGCCTTTTTCATAGCCACATCACACTGTTGGCTCATATTCAGCTTGTGATCTATGACAATTCTTAGATCCTTCTTGCTTGTAGTATTGCTGAGCGAGGTATCTCCCATCCTGTAACTGTGAATTTGGTTTCTTTTTCCTAGGTGCAGTACTTTACATTTATCCCTGATGAATTTAATGTTGTTTTCAGCTCAGTGCTCAAACCTATCTAGATCATTTTTAATTTTGTTTTTGACTTCCAATCCAGGGTATTAGTTATTCCATCCAAAATCATCTCCTTCATGATAATTTGTACTAATGATATCAATTAATTCTTAGGGCCCGAAGGAATAAATGGGTAAATTAAAGGTACAGTGTCCCTCATGTTATAAAGAATTTTGCTGGTATTCATATAAGGTTTATGTAACTAGCTATAGCTAAGTGATGAGATGTTGGGGTGCATCTTGATTGCACAATTGGGTATATGGCCAAGAATGCAAGATAATGCACCCTGGCATCTCATGAATTAGTCGTGGCAACTTATGCTGACCCTATGCAAATACAAGATTCTAGACTATAATTCTGCTGAATGCGCCCTATGATTCTTCTTGGTCCTTGTGGCAGATGACACAAAGATAGTTGTGATGCCTTATGTTTCAAGTCCTATGTGTTTCTCCTGTGTGTAGCATTTCTTTCCATTTCCCCCAACATAATGAAAAACATTTCAGTCGCCGCAGATGTAATATGATAACAATCATAAACAAAACCAAATCAGAGCACACCAATGACCCTGAAACACTCCAGTAATTATATATTATTTGTGTGGCAAAATTTATTTTATGAAGTGAATTTATACAGATCTGGCAGCAATTTCAGAAAGAACATTAATTCTACCTATGATGGTCATTGGAATTACTCCTAGTATTGCGCACCAAACATTTCCTGAGAATAGTCATAAACATTTCCCATTAGTATTTATGTTGTATTTAGCTTTGTGTGGTTTTAACTATTTGTAGACCACCCAGAATACTGTTTTAGCACTAATATATAAATCAAAGTAATAAATAAATAAATAAAAATTATGTGTAAAAGCAATGCTGGACTCTATGATTCATAGAGTCCTTTCTAGCTCTGCAGTTCTAGGATTATTATTATTAAATTGCTGTGTGTGAACCATGTCGAATTCAGTGAATTCTGGTTATCATTGCCCTTCTTGAGCTTGAGTTCTTCCCACTCTTTTATACATAACTAAAGTCATCTAGTATGCTGATAGTATTATCATGTATGTTGGAGGCATTGTATTCATGACCAGCTGCTACCAACTGACTTTTGATGCATTTGTGATCCTAATACAGGGAATATATGAGCATATGTAGTTGAGGAAATACATTGCCAAAGACCAAATTTATTTATTCGATTGTGTATATTTTAATTTACATTTTTTTCTTTTTCCCACATGGAATTCAAAACAATATGTCTAGGATTTCCAGGCAGTCTCC